TATATATAATTTTTCTTTTTACTTTAAAAGCATTTAAAGTCAGTGTTCATTTCACAGGTCTCTTTCTCTCTATCATCTTCACTCTCCAAATCTATAAAGCATTAAATGTGTGAGTGTGCTGAGTGCTTTGGAGAGGTCAGTAAATGACCCTAAAAAGGCCCTTAAAATCTCTGTCAGGATAAACTGCTACAGTCAAGATAGTAAATCAGGAACCAAGAGCACACAAACAACTTCATTTGTAAAATGGAAGAGAATGCTTAGAGAAATGTTATTTAAAACAGTTGTAAAGTCATAGTTGCTCAATTCTGTGTAAAAGAATAAACAGAGCTAGTGGCACTTCATGTAATGTATAATAATCAGCATATTAGAATGATTTCTGAGTAATCATGCATATTATTTTCTGAATAATCATGTGCACATTATTTTTATGGTAGACAACAGTTCAAAACACACACACACAAAAGCTGTAATGCTTAAGGAAATGTGATGGGGATGGGTTGTACCTTATTCATGGAAGGTGTCTAGTAAGAAAGTGAAGGCGGGGTCTGCGTTCTGTAGACGACAACACTGATCAACTGCATTACTTCACATCACAACTCGTGAGCAGGAACGCTTGATGATATACGGGATTGGATGTACTTTACGTACTTTGTCCATTTTATTTTGTTTTTTATTTTTTATTTTAACATCTCAAAAGAAACCCGTTTTGTCTTGAATATATAATTATGAATTGGTATAAAAGCATGTGTCTTAATATAGAGTGCAGCTCTCTGGCATTATGGCAGAGCAAATGGTGGTGTTCTTTTACCTGCAAGAGATGAAGAGACATTCTTTTGGATAGATCTATGTCTATACTGCGACGGACAGTGAGAATCCATCAGAAACAACAAGCAAATATGGAGACATTTACAATTCACGATATGCTCATCAATTCCACTGATATTTATACAATTTTATGTGGACTGGGAATCGAGAATTTGTCGGAGTGCAAAAATGATAATAACAGCACGTCCGAGCCAAAAGGTAAAGGACATCTTACATTTTTATTGCATATTACTTTATCTTTCCTGTGGAGTAGCGCATATTAAGCACAGAAAAACTGATAGCATCTCAATTAACTTGTATAAGGAAAAAAAATATTTTGCATCACTGAATCACCTAAATATACTTTCACGTTCACCAACAAAACAATTTTTTATGAGCTAGAACGAGTTGTACGAGTTTAGACAGGTCTTGTACAACTTTGCATTTCTAAGTAAAAGTTCACTAGTTTGCTTGTTAAATCTTGTCAAATAATGTCAATGCCAATTTGTTTCTAGAGCACAGTTTAAAACAACTTAGAGTTGGCCAAAGTGCTTTACATTTATACACTTAGAACAACATTCAAACAAAACAAAGCAAGGCCATTAAAAGAGATTAAATTAACCTCTACAATACATTAAAAACACTTTCTTTCTTTCTTTGGTACTTGTATGTCAGACATGAACCAGTCGGTGCGGATCGTTCTGTACGTGCTCATCTTCCTCCTGAGCTTCACAGGAAACAGCCTCATCATCACCGTGCTGGTGCGGAACCGGCGCATGCGGACGGTCACGAACCTGTTCCTGCTGTCTCTGGCCGTCAGTGATCTGATGCTGTGTCTCTTCTGCATGCCCTTCACACTCATCCCAAACCTTATGAAGGACTTCATCTTCGGCACCGGCATGTGTAAAGTGGCCACGTACTTCATGGGTGAGTCAGTTTGATATTTGTAGTTCACACTTCTCTAGCTCAGTGTTTGGAAATGATTTGTTGGTTCATAACCCGAGTTTCTGCAAAGATACCTGTTATTATAATTAGTCCAACTGTAAACTGTCTTTTCAGAATCTTTTTTTGGTATTGTGATTGGGGTCTAATACCAAGTGACTGAAGTTTTAAAGTAACAACTGTAGTCCCTGTAATAGGCAGGTTTTACAGGTTTACCTCCAGTAAATCTTTTTTTATATATATACACTCTTAAAAATAAAGGTGCTTCACGATGCCATAGAAGAACCTTTTTGTCTAAATGGTTCCATAAAGAACCTTTAACATCTGAAGAACCTTTCTGTTTCACAAACGGTTCTTTGTGGTGAAAAAAGGTTCTTCAGATTATAAAAAGGTAAGAAAGAGATGGTTCTTTAAAGAACCTTTGACTGAATGGTTCTTTGTGGAACCAAAAATGGTTCTTCTATGGCATCGCTGTGAAGAACCTTTTGAAGCACCTTTATTTTTAAGAGTGATGAATACTTGATACATTTTTCTGAGTTCACTGCTGGAATGTTATAACCCTCCCGTATGGTCATCATATTTGTATTTTTTAAACATAGAAAAAAGGCTTGGATAATTGTTACAAATAAAATTAAACTACAAAATCTGTTGATTCAGGTGACAGCAAGTCATTTAACATACATAAATCGAACTAGAAATGAGACATTAGACTAGAAATTAGATTTTATTTCTTACCTTAAAACTAATACCTTTACACAGAAACTTATACTTGTCAAGAAGGTTGAGGTAGGCTAAAATACTGTAGTAAATTGTACTTTTTTAAAACAATGTTTTATTACATATAAATAAATAGTAAATACTTGTACATTATATATATATCAAATAGTTAAATAGTTTTTGCTACCAAGCGAGAACTATGAGATTTTACTGCTATTGGTACTGACTACATTAGTTTTGGAATTGTGTCTACACTAGTAGTAGTAACTATGTTATTTTGCCAGAAAATCTGAGTATCATGATACATTATAGTATGGGAATGTTTGCATAATATTCACTGATATTACAAGCTTCTTAATGCCCTAAAAAAGGGCATCTGATAACACTGTATTCAAGAGGCAGTCTGTAAAGCAGGGGAGTCAAACTCAATTCCTGGAGGGCCGGAGCCCTTCAGAGTTTAGATCCAACCCTAATTAAACACACCTGATCCAACTAATCAAGTCCTTCAGGCTTATTTGAAAACTACATGGTATGTGTGTTGGAGCAGGGTTGGAACAAAACTCTGCAGGGATCTGGCCCTCCAGGAATTGAGTTTGACACCCTGCTGTAAAGGGTCTCCTGGCCAAAGGACATTACTTAATGTTCCAGCTGCTTTTTTTCTTGCATTTGGTTACAAAAAAAAAGGTCGATTTAGAGATTCATTACTATTCATTAAGGGGCTAAAAGCACAGACCACAAACCCAGTGAAACTTGCACTAATAGCACTAAAATGCATTATATTATATTGCAAGCTTCAATCGTAATGGCAAGACCACCGTTTTTTTTTTGTTTTGTTTTTTCCGATTATATTGCAAGTCACATCCATTGTGAATTCATATTTATGACTTGTTGAATTTTGTGTAACAATTCTGAAAACTATTTATAGCCAGGTTCATTGCACACTTCCAGATGTTGCAAATGTGCCGTGTAAACAATTTAGTAATGAGACAATGTCACTGCGTGATATCTCTGTATTTGATGCGTCAGCATGTTTTATGTGTTTGTTTTGTGCTATTCTGTAATACTTGCTCATGATAAAGCTGACTTTTTTTTTACATTTACATACTCTGTTGTTATTACCGTGTGGGTATGTTAACATTCATACGCAATCAAGCACTGTCGATTATTCAGAGGAGAGCTGGAGCTATGGTCTTACTTGTTGTAAAGGGTACAGTTACACTGTTAAAGTGCCAGCAGCCATTAACTTTATTAACAGTTCATGCCTTTGTTATCAGGGCTTAGAGTTAGTTTGTTATGAAGTTTGCCTGTCTGTTTCCATTTTTGTGTTTACTGTTGTTTATAGAATCATACTGTATATACGTATATCACACCTTCTTAGAATCACAATACTTTAACAAGCCCAGATTTATTTCTGTATGTGCAATTGAGTTCTGTGCATCCAAACATGCAGGTATTTCGGTGAGTGTATCCACATTCAACCTCGTGGCCATCTCTCTGGAGCGCTACAGTGCCATCTGCAACCCCTTTAAGTCCCGCACATGGCAGACGAAGTCCCACGCTGCAAAAGTCATCACAGCCACTTGGGTCGTGTCTTTTCTGCTCATGCTGCCTTATCCAATAGGCAGCACTCTGGTGCCTTTCATGCGCAGTAACAACAGCACAGGCAACATGTGCCGCTTGGTTTGGCCCAATGATGTCATGCAGACCTGGTAAGATTTATTAGGACTGTGTTTTTTATTTTTATTTTTGAGGATAAGTTGTTAAAGGAATAAGGACCAGAGTAAAAATTCTGTCATCATTTACCCTCATGTTGTATACTGTTATGTTTTCGGCAGCAGTTATTTACACTAAGTGTAAAAAAAGCTCAATGTTATTTATACTGAGTGTAAATACTGGTAGATACTGTTTGCAGTATAAGTGCAAATAGTGATAGATGCTATTCACACTAAGAAGTGCAAATAGAAGTAATATACTGTTTGTACTAAAGGCAAAACATCTGAGCAGTGGTGGGCGGAGTTAGTGAAAATTGCCTTTGCTAACAGGATTATTTGCACTCAGTGAGACATTGGCTTTTTCTTTCTGTGGAACACAACTCTTTTTAATGCAATAAGTATGTATATTGACCATGTATGTTAATGCTGAAATACACTACACAACTTTTCAAAGCTGAGGTGTCATACTTGCTGACTTTGTAAATTGTTACAGAGAAAAAAAAAATTGGGCATCATACGTAAACAGCTAAGGATCACACACTACACTGTAAAAAACTATTTTTAGAAGTTGTAAATAAAGCAAAGATTATTTGAGTATGTTTTACAAGAAAATACCATTTTAGTCTTTCTACTTCAAAATTTCATGATGAATTCAATGTGCTATTTGCTAGCAATTTGAAAACTGAAATTTGAAAAGTGAAAATTGTTTAAAAGTAAAATTTTTGTATTTTTTTCGGTGTACTTTTCAAGTCATTCTGAACACAACAAACCTGTGCAGAGATATGCATGTCGTTGCTATATATAATAATTGAAAATATGTGTTCTAAAATCAGCATAGTTTAAAACCTGAGCCTGTGCCCATCATACACTGAATGGGTTTTGATGAAATCTGTAAACTCCGACTTCCCGAAATCTGCAGACTGGCTCTGACTTTTGGCAGCTCCTCCAGACTGCAAATCAGGGGGAAAATATTGGAATGTAGCCTTGGAATTTAAAAATTCTATTTTTGTGTTTAACCAAAATAAATAATAATAATGATAATGATAATAATAAATTATATCTGGAGACAGGTTTGGAACAGCATGAATAAATAATTTTAGCTTTGGGGTAAACAATTCTGTAAAATTAAACCTACCCAGAAGGTTTTTTTCTTTTTTTGTTATTATTATTTTTTTTTTTAGCTAAAAGTACTGTGAAAACAGACACAAATATGGACCAGTTGCTTAAACTTAAAGGGTTAGTTCACCCAAAAATGAAAATTAACCCATAAATTACTCACCCTCAAGTTATCCTAGGTGTATATGACATTCTTCTTTCAGACGAATCCAGTCGGAGTTATATTAAAAATTGTCTTTGATCTTTCAAGCTGTTTAATGCCACTCAGCGGGTGTTGCATGCATCAGTCCAAAAGAAGTTAAATAAAAAGCGCCCATCCATAAAAAAAAAATTATCTCACACGACTCCGGGGGGTGAACAAAGGCCTTCTGTAGCAAATCGATGCGTTTTTGTAAGAAAAATATCCATACTCAAAACGTAATAATCACTTTAATGTAGCTTGCGCTCACTGTTGTACACGGAAGCAGTTCCGGGTGGATGACATGAACTCATACGTCATCCTCCCGGAGCTGCTTACGTGTACAACTGTTGGCGCAAGCTACATTAACGTGATTATTATGTTTTGAATATGGATATTTTTCTTACAAAAACGCATCGATTCGCTACAGAAGGCCTTTGTTATGGACTAATTTTCATTTTTGGGTGAACTAACCCTTTGAAATGTTAAAATGGTGTCTTATGAATTAATCTGTTAGTCAGTCCTATTTTCAGATTCAAATGAGACCAATCTACGTTTTTATTTAACTGACTTTGAATAGTTATGACCAGTCTTAAAGAAAAGAACAGGCCAGTTATTACTGTCAACCCAGTTCTGACTTCTGTGTTTTTCTTTCTTCTTTTTTTTTTAGGTATGTTTTCCTGTTGCTGATACTCTTTCTCGTGCCTGGCATCATAATGATGACGGCTTATGGCCTCACCTCACTCGAACTCTACAGGGGAATCAAATTTGAAATGGCTAACAGGAAGTCAAACAGAGGTATGGGGAAAATATCATTCAGATGTGGATTCATTGTATAAAAGCCTTTTAAATAAAGCTGTTTAGTCATGATGTCAATTTGTAGGACAACCCAGAAGACTAATGTGCCCTTCAAGTGGAGTTGGAAATATCGCAATTACAAGTTTCCAAGCACATGAAAGAACAAGCAGAGTCATATTTAGTGGGAAACTCGAAATTCAACGATACACAAGTTACCGAGTTGTGACGTTGAAATTGATACACATCTATAATATAGATAATATCATATAATCTATATATAGAGATCAATGAGCAGAAAGCAATTCTGTAGCGAATGGTGTAAAGTGAATCACTCAACTTTATCATGGTTTTCTTTATATAACAAACACATTTAATTGTTATACCATGTATAAATACATATAAAAACCAATTTAATCATCATTTTATAATTTAGATGTAGAATGTGGTTACAGATTACAGTATAATTCTTTTGTTTCGTATGCTAATATCATAGATAATTGAAAACTGCTTTAGTATTACACATAATTACAGTTTCATTCTCACTTTGCTCACTAGAGAAAGAATACTGCCCTTCCAATCTGAAAAATGGTAATGGCTGCTACCTCCGGCCCTTCAAGAGAAAGCGCCCCGAACCCATGACGCCCGGCTTCGTCAATCCAAAATCCAAACTGAGAAGGGTTTGCAGCAACAGCACTACAGCAAACCTCAAGGCCAAGAAACGGGTCATTCGCATGCTGCTGGTGATCGTGGGGCTGTTTTTCCTCTGCTGGACGCCGATCTTCGTTGTTAATGCCTGGAGAGCCTTTAACAGACGTTCAGCCGATCGTGTCCTCTCAGGAGCGCCGATATCCTTCATCCACTTGCTGTCCTACACCTCGGCCTGCGTCAACCCCATAGTCTACTGTTTTATGAACAAACGCTTCAGACAGGGTGTGCTGGCGACGTTCAGCTGCTGTAGGGCTGATTTCGAGGAAGTGAGCAGGAGCAGGAGCAGCACCCAACGTAGTGCCAGAGGGCTGGGAACGCTGTTCGGAGGAACCGGTGTGACCGGACAGGCTGACGGTAAAACACAAAGCTCAGGAACACCTACAAGGCTAACTGACACCAGTATCCGTGGCTCAGCACAAGCATAATTGACACTTGTTAAACCCTGATATGTTCAGTATAGGAGCCCAACAAGAAGCTTATCTTGAGTAAAATGTAAAGAAAAATATGATATCAGTGTCAAAATCATTCAAAGCTTTGCAATGTTTAGTAAAAATGGCTTGTTGTACTGATGATAAAATAGAGCACAAGCATGCAGACAATGGCTGCCAATAGCACTGAAATGCTGTGCTTAATTTTAGTACGTCACTGTTAAATAAACAGCAGCACCAAATGGAGCAAGACTGTGGCCTCCAGTCCTCATTACAGTTATGAGTTACAAAGACTTTGTAAGTCATAAGTTTTGTCCATTTGGCTCTCTAATTTTCTGGCTCACCTATACTGTAAACAGGGCCGTCCTTAGGGGGGGTGCAACTGGTGCGGTCGCACCAGGCCCCGCGCTTGACACATTTAATCTTAAACGCTTGTTCTTAAAAATTTAAGGCAGCAACTTAAGAGAGATCGAAATTCATTTGATTTTCTTGCATTTTCCCTTATTTTTGTGTGTGTTACTGTCAAAGCAATCGTCCAGATGTTTTTGAGAACATTCTAATATTGCTTTTAACTACACTACCATTCAAAAGATTGGTTGAGGTCGAGTAGATGTTTTTGAAAGAAGTCTCTTCTGCTCACTAAGGCTGCATTTATTTAATCAAAAACACAGTAAAAAATGAAATATTGTGTAAATATCTGATATCTGAGATAAGTTTTGGTGTACGCTGACCTATATATTTGATATTTTGTTCATATCTGCTTCTGTAATAACTACACAGATATAATTCTGTTTGATAGATGTATGACACATATACTTAAAACCTCTTTGGATTCTTTGCCAATACCACAAAAACATGCAAAAATGTGTAAACAGTGTACCAACTGGTACCTGCGTGATGTCCATATGTTGATGTGTAGCTTTAAGCGCTTTCTTCTAGGAAAATACACAGTGACGTCTTTATGTTAGTCCAGCCGTACTGTTTAGAGTCTGTCCTTATCATTGCATGAAACTTTTCACACCTGTTGTGCACTTCAAAGAACCTACTCAAGGCTGCTTCTGACATCTGGGTTATTTTCACCAGGACATGTTGTCATTGACTATTATATTTGTTTGTAATATTTGTGTATGCCAAACTCAAATTTTTATTTCCCTCTCGTTGCGATGAACAATTATTTCCAAATTTAACAGCATACTCCTAAAATAATAGGGTGTTACAGTGCTGTTGAGATGACGCACATATTCATACGCTCCCTGACACTGACTTTGTTACACTGACATGGACACATTAAACTATGTAAAGTCTTAATCAACTGTCTAATGTCTATACCAAGGGATTTAACCACCCCCAAAAATAAATATCTACTTATTAAAGGGGTCATATGATGCGATTTAAATTTTTCCTTTCTCTTTGGAGTGTTACAAGCTCTTGGTGCATAAAGAAGATCTGTAAAGTTGCAAAGACTAAAGTCTCAAATCCAAAGAGATATTCTTTATAAAAGTTAAGAGTCCGCCACACCTACCCAAAATGGCTCGTTTTAACACGCCCCCACATATCTACGTCACTATTTGGGCGGCGTTATGCAACTCTTCCCGTTTCAAAACCCTGAGGAGATGCATGTACGCCAGTCCACATATCATCTAATACATGAATATTTTAGGAGTGCTTTGTATGAAATGCAACCTGAGGGTCGAACCAAAAAGGGTTTTTTTTTGTTTTGTTTTTCACTGTATTGTGAAGTGCATACATTAAAAGTGACCTTTTTTTATAGTTGTATTTGTTTTTATCAGACAACATGTAGGAAGTTATGCATGCTTTATTTTTTTTTTACAAACATTTTGAAAGCCATTAATAAAAAAAGCTAAATGGATGCTCCTGTAAGATACGGTTAACATCAGCAGCATATGGTGGACGCACCTAGTCAACAATTAACGCGATGAAAATGGTAATTTTCTTCATGATCGATTAATCATTTAGACTTGCTTTCTCCTGTGGAACATAAAAGACGATATTTTGAAATGTCTCAGTAATTTTTGTCTATACAAAGTTAAATTGACTTTCATAATATGGACAAAAACAGCTGAAACATTCTTTAAAAATATCTTCTTTTTGACTTGAGTAAATGATAACAGAAAAACTATCCCTTTAAGAAAGGGGAAAAAAACTGGCAAATTTGCAAGTTCAACCCAAGCTACAAAATAACTGAGATCAGGCTTGCTTTATCTCATCTATCAGCCATTATGAATAAAATAATTCTGCAAAATAAAACAAAACGCAGAGTGACCCAATAAAAATATTTGGGCACACTGACAAATTGAGAAATTCTTTCCGATGCAGTACAGCAACCTAAAAAAATGAGGCATAAAATGATTACAAAATTTATTTTAATCTGTTTTAGCCTGTTCAGGGTATTTTAAAGAAGTTGCAATAGTGCAAAATGAATATACAAGGGAAATAAATCTCATTTTTATGCCAATATTGCAGTTTTATTTAATGACATGTAGAACTGAGCAGGTGCAATATGTACAAAATCAAACAGACAAATGAAACTAATGTTTTTGTTTTCTTTTCTGCCCCCTTGTTTCACATTAGGGCACATGATCCTAACATCAGTGGCCCATTAAGGACTGAGATTGCTACCATACTGATACCTCTGAATATTATAACTAGAACAGACCAAGAAGGAGAAATGAAAGAGGGAGCAATAAAAGAAAGACACTGACAAAGGGGAAGTGAAAGGATGAGGATGAACTGCACATGTAAAGCCTAGCACAGAGCATCAAATTAGGCACAGCAGGATTGCTTTACATGAAAAGTGACCGTTACACTCTTTAAGCAACTAATCTAGACACATGTGGTTTTCTCTAAGTGCAAAACCAGCAGAGAGGGTGAATTACCAAACGAAAACTGTCCTAAAGGCATAATAACTTGATACACAGTACAACACATGCAGTCAGACGGCCACAAAACTCTCCAGTTGTGCCCTATATAAGCCTTTGGTTACACGTTCATGTCCAAAAGGCAAAACACCACAACATTATGACCAATCTAAGCTCTTTGTATGGAAGTATGGAACTGGAAAACCACTAAAGATTACCACTGTTTGTCTACGGTACATTTTCCAATCCTCTTTTCTTCTATAATGTAACTACTGAGATATTTTTGAGAAGCTGTCTCTCGTGCCATGTTTGATAAGCAGTGCATGAAAATGTAAGTATAAGACATTTGACATTTAACCTATACATTGCTCAGAGCTCATCAAGCACAAAAAAAGTAGTTTTTGGAAGAGCAAAGTTAATGGAGAAATATAAAAATCAACAAAAGTGACACCAGCTGACTGATTTTTAAACATAAAACTGACAATTTGTTCACTCAGATTGCCATTAAATGTGTTTTTAAGGCGTGGTACATGACCTCTACCTCTCAGACATTAAATAAAAAATGTTTAAAAAAAAATGACAGCAAAATTATACAAAGCAAATTTATGGATTTTGTTAGAATGTGTCCTCCAATTTTCTGTGTGGTTTAAATACACAGCTCAACATGTTAGTTTCAGATATGGGACAGAACAAATCCTTAATTCGAAAGCTCAACACCTTCAAAAACTAAAAAGTAAACCGTAAAAAACAGCAAGATTGTCATTCGGTTTGTTCAGAGTGCAACATAACACTATAGTAAGTGAGGGGCAGAACTGAGCAAATCCACAATGTAAACTAATGTGGAACAGAGACAGCAATCAGACTGACGGACTGGTTCAGAAATGTTCTTAATATAAATGTGTAAATTATGATATGTTGTGCTATGCTAATGAAAGCATGATAAAGTCACACTAAATTTACAGTTTGAATTAACCGCTTTCTTTAGTTTGTGTAGGAATTGTTTCAATGATGCTGTATCATTTCAAGGCGGACTGGCTTAAAGCACTTGTTTTTCTTTCTTTTTGGGATCGTGGTAGCATATAAATCAAGGGAAGCATTTGAATTATAATGAAAACCAAAAACAATAGAAAAACACAATGCCACATTGCATGATAAGCTCTCACAAAGACAATCACTTAAATTAAAATCCATCAGTTATTAGAAATTAAATGGACTGCTTAATGTGGGCACAGTAAAATTTTAACATTAAAAAAATGCATCCATGCTTTTGCCCAGTGCCATCTTCCTCTAAATGGAAGTGTGCGCTTGCATGATACTGAATTGCAAGAATAGGATCAAATGGAAGAAGACTGTTTTGCAAGAATTCACGGGAAACTGAGTGCAAGAGCTTCAGGTTAAACTACCCCATGGAAGATTTTTGCAAAGAGGCCATCAAGGACAGAATAAAGACATTATTAGCAAGAAAAAGAGATGACGTTGTTGAAGATGGTGAAAAGAAAAAGCTAGTGGAGGCAACAAGTGAACTTTTTTTTTTTTTGCAGAAACATTCAAGTTACAGTTTTTTCCCCAAAATATACTACATTATAGACCTACAATGCTGGAGTATTGCCTTATTTGACAGGGCGCCTACTTACTGTACTACACTACAGATTTTCCAAGTAAGGAAGACAAATCTACAAATCTACCAAAAAGGTGTTTGAAGAAGAAGTGTGAAAGAAAGTGAATATGACTCTAGTTGAGCCAGCTGTTCTTCATGACCACGTATGCTGTGGATCAGGCTGGTGAAAAATCAGTGGCTATTTCCACAGACCAAGACCTATACAGTATTGCTGTATGCTTACATCTTTGAGACACACACACACACACACACATTTAAAGGCCATTAACTTCCATGATTCTAGTCCCATGGTGTCCTTTTACTATCCAGACAATAACATAAGGTAAGGACAAACTGGGACACTAAACACCCAACCGTTTCGACGAGAAACACCAAGGACATAACTGGGTTAAGAGCCACAGACACACGGAGAGAAAAAAAAAATGGCTGAATGGTTTCACTTTTTCTTTTGTTTTTTTCCTTTTGTTTGTTTTTGTTTTTGTTTTTTTTTTACAAATGGACGCATAAAATTCAAAAGTTAAATTACTGTACATAAAAAAAAAAGAAAGTCACAAAACACTATTAGTGCTGGTTGATGAGTTCATTACAGCTAGGTTTGTTTGTTTTTTTTTTGTCATTAATACTAGTCTACTAGTTGGTGAGACACCAAGGCCACGATAAACACATAAATGACCAACAGAGTAAAGCTTCCTACTTTTGGTGTATGCGAGAGGCCACAAATCCTGACATACTCTCCAAATATTCAAAAAACAGAGACAACAATGCAATATAATATCTTTGGGTATGTTTGTATCTATTACACATTTAAATCTTCTGAATCCAAACAAAAAAAATGAAAGTTTAGGGAGTTTTAATATCAAAAATCGCATATCAATATGTTCAAAAAGCAAGGCTTGGTTCCTCGGGT